TAACACGTACTAGATACGGTAGTCGATTATCCCTTTACCGTAAAACCTCGAGAAGCCCATCTTGAATTGAAGCCCCTTCCCCTCTTTAGTTTGCAATAGTAGCCTCGAAAAGCCTTTCTCAGTACATATTGTATATGAATTTCAAAGAAACAAAAACATTAAAATTAACATGCTTGGTTTACACAGTAGTTTAGGTGATTTAATTCCGGTTAATACGCTCCACGATAGACTGATATTACAGTAGCTCTATTTATTGCTTTATAGTAGTAATTTAAAAAAAAAAAAAATACTGTATACAGCATTCTTTTTGGGATGAAGCCCACCTCTTTAATTTGCAAAAGTAGCCTCTAAAAGAAGCCCATCCAAAGTTTGCAAATAAATAAATAAATAAATAAACCCAAGGCTTTTATTCGAGAGTTTTAGGTACTTCTATTGCTCAGATTTATATTTAACCTTCACAAGAATAATAGTAAGCTAGTTTGTAAAGATAGGCCCGGATATAAAGTTCTACAGACATTGTCAGCGGGAAGCTCACGGGTACATAAAATACCTACGCAAGGAAACGTATTAAAAATATTTGCCATCCTAAGAAAACTAGTAGGAAGTATTATATTACTTAGTTGGGAACCACGAGTTATCCAACTTTAATTTGCATAGAATAACAAAGACTGCTTAAATCCTTCCAAAAATACAGCATCTGCCAATAGACGATCAAACAGTGGCGTAAAGGCTTATGAGCTCTCATTGGCTAAAGCCAGGGGCCCCGGAGCATCAAGGGGCTCACCAATTAATTTTCTTTTTACAAATAACCAAGGCTTTTTTCCAAGCCAAAGTCTGCCTAGTAAAATTCAACAATGAGCAAAAGCACTGATACATACGTGTTCGTCCATAAATATTTATTGATTTTACTTTACTTGTTTTGTTTGGTATTTATTGTAATATGTATATTAGTGATATCTTAGTTAAAATTAAGTATGATTTTTTGGGTCAAATCACGATACATAAACTTGGAATTCGAATGTGTAAAGAAGGCATTAAAATACGTCATAAAATGCTAAAAACGCTAGACCCCCAGGAGCCTTTGTTACACCACTGCAATCAAATAAGTATGTCCAATAACATGTATGTTTAAACATTAATAGAGCTTTTTTAAGCATTTCCTGATTATTCTGTTATTTATTTATTTTGGTATGAAATCATATATTATTATATCAGGAACATAATTTCAGGTAATTTATAATTGACCTAATGTAATTGAAAACTGTATGAAAGTTGCTTTTACTGATAAATAAAAGTAAACTTCGGAAATGTTTACCTACAAACGTTGCAAGGTACCTAATCCCATTTTCATTCAACTATCACTCCATGATTCAACAGCGTAAACGCCAACAATCAATGAATTAGTGACATTCATTTTTATTCAGATTCAACTTTATTGTCATACAAAATATAAAAAATCGTCATAAAAAAAAAACAAAAAAAAAACCAACACAATTAGTCTCACTTTAGGGGTTATGGAATGGAGATCACTTTCATTGTGAAAAAAAAATCGTTTTTCAAAATTGAACAGAGATCAGTTGTTGTCAGCCATTTAAAAAAAATTTAATCTGCTTTTCTTAACCAAATAATACAAAATAAAAACACACTGACATTCGTTAAAAAATAATTGCATTTTATATATCATATATAAATTACAGAAAAATCGTTTTTCAAAATTGAACAGAGATCAGTTGTTGTCAGCCATTTAAAAAAAATTTAATCTGCTTTTCTTAACCAAATAATACAAAATAAAAACACACTGACATTCTTTAAAAAATAATTGCATTTTATATATCATATATAAATTACAGCAATAAAGGTTAAGACAGCAGATATACTTATCTGTCCAAAATACTCTAAAATATTTTATAAATCTGATATTAAAATATAATGTATAGACCCTTAAATGGCCGATATTTTATTTTTTTATACTGGGTACCTGTTTAATATGGTCAATGGTCGTATATTTATGTAGCGCCTTCCACAGAAAACAGTCTCAAACATAGCCCTGTTTAACTCCCTAAGCCTGACTATGAAGCTTAGGGTTAAGTGAGTGAGAAAAATGAATGCTGGCCAGAAATTCAGCCCAGAATTATGAGTTTGGAAGGGAAGGGAACCACCAGACTATTACTAAATATTTTATTTATTTTTGTTTTTTGGTGGTACTTATGGATTTCTTTAAGAAGGGAAGTTAAAATAAAAAAATATCAAGAAAGGGAGAAAGATATGGCTTCATACTAATTGACTTTATCTTGGGTATCACTAGAATAAAACCTAGCTTCTACAATGCAGTTTGACTGAATTTCCTCTAGTTGTTTGTATAACTCGTGCTGTAGGCCATGGGTTACCTTGATTATGTCACTCGCCTGGGAAAGAGAAGCATTCAAATTATTGAGAAAATATACATATATCTATTATAAACTTTCAATGAGTGCACACATATCAAGAAAAGAAATTCTAACCAATGTTTTTTCATAAATTTCATGACACAATGGCAATGCAAATGTAGACAATCATAATATTATATATTAACTGTTAATAAATAAAATACTAACAGCAGCAACAACAGCAACCACAGCAGCAATAACAATAAACAACAACCACAAAATTACAGCAATCACAAACACAAAAAACAACCACAGCAATGGTAACTACACCAGAACAGCAAACAACGACAGCAACACAACTCCCACAACCAAAAGAACAACAATAATATTAACAATACTTTACTATTTGTGAGATGTAGCTGAATAAATGTATCTCTTGTCCCAATTTATTCATGCAGCAAAATCCATTTATATTATTTTACAGCGAGTCAAAATAATGTTTAGCGTCAGTAAGAACAGTAACAAACCTGCTGAAGATATTGAATGGCCATAGTGAAACTGCCTAGGAAGTGCTGCAGCTTGGCCAATCGGAGAAGATGCACACCAATTAATGGATGGAAAGATGGATACAATTTCCTGTGGAACATGTTGAAAAGTAAAAAAAAAACAAAAATAAACCTTATCAAATTTGCAAGCAGATAATATAACTTCAATAATAAGTTGATATACAAATAAAAAAGGATGGAATTTTGATCAAGAACATGGAACAAACAAAACTTCAATGCATGCAACCATCTCACAAATTTTTTTTAAGGTCTTGAATGACTTGTAGATATCTAACTGCAGTGTATTAGAAAAATGTATTATCAGTGCGGATGCAGAAATTCAGAATAGGGGGAGGGGGGGGGAGGGTCAGAATAGGGGGAGGGGGGGGAGGGCAGAAAGGCAGAAATTGCACTCTCAGACTTAAACTCAACAGTAATTTGGGGTGCGGGGAGAGGGAGGTTGAGTTGGATGAATGTTCAATCTTCCAGGTTATTGATCCCTCTATTTAAAAAAAAAAAAAAAAAAAAAAAAAAAAAGATAAAAATAGATATGCACCTGTAAGATTGTATAACTTTCTGGGCCAAATACAGAGCATCAGTCCAATTTTGTAGATTAACCGCAACATCATATAGTTTATCCACAGTTCGGACCCTATATACGTTTTCTATGTGTAGAACACCAGCTTGTTTTATTGACAACTTTGACCAAAGTTTGAAAAGATTTTGCCAATGTATGTCAATATTAAGGTTAAGAAAGTCAACAACATTTGACATCACATGACAACAAGTATAACTCTTGAATTATTGTTTTGGATTGTAAAATGGCAGTTATAAGTTATTGAGTGTTACTTCACACACTGTCGTCACCCAAGAAATGCATTGTTAATTCTCAGGCAAGTATTCCTTAAGAGATGATATTATTCAATAACTTATTGAGCATAATTATTTGCATAAAAATAATTTACTATGATGTGAATAACAACAAAAAAAAACGTATGTGTATATACAGGGAGTGTGAACAATATTCTACAAGTTAAAAAAATTCAAGAAACCTTGTCCATATCAATTAAAAACATAGTAGAGCATTTAGACATATAGCTATCATTCAATACTCATAGTGGCAGAACCAGGGAGTGATTTATGAAGGCTGAGGGCAGAGATCAATCTATTATATAGCATCTGTTTGCATATGGCACTTAAATTTGAATTTTTTTTTTTTCTCGGTTTTTTCCACATTGAATCTGCCTATGACAATTATAAAACAAAAAAATTGTCGTATTTTGTTATTCCTTTTTGGAGAGTGGGTTAATTCTTGACAGTTCTGATTGAAACATTATTTTATATAATTGCATTCAAATATACACTAAACTGTCTAGTCTAATGCCCGTATTCTTAACACAAACTTTAGTCGAACTTCGAACTAAAACTTCATTTAGTGCTAGTTTCAACTTCAACCTCAATTTGTATTCACAAACAACGTAGTCGAAGTTTTAACTAAGACTAAATCAAGTCCTAGTTTTAGTTCAACTGAAGACAACTGGCAAGCAACAACTATCAAACTAACCAATGAAAAGAGCTAATTTTAATAGCAGACAAAATTTTAGAGATCCGGTAATGCGGATGAATATTAAGCTGCCGTCTGTGGTTCAAAAAAGTATTTCCTCATAATTCATAATAGATCATCATTCGCTTAATTAATTTTCTATAATAATAACTATATTAGTTGTTAACATATTACGATAGAGAATTTGAACAGTCACTGAAAATTTGCTTTTTCTTTGGAGAACTGTTATAGTTGAGCCCGAGCGAGGGCGGCGCCAGCTTTGTTGCTGTTATGGCGAAGCTACGTGACCGCAGTGGGAGGGGATTTCGTGCAAATCAGGAACTATCGCATGTGGCTGGAAAAAACATGTTAATTTGGCTGAACTTGATGTCTCTTTTGTTTAACACACCGAAGATATATCAAATCGTTTTTCTTCGTTTCACTTTATCGTGAGTTACAAAAAACATGTCTTTAGTGGGGTAAATATTTCAAGTCAATTTTACCTGACCCTAGGCTGACTAAAAAAATCGGCCTCTAGAGGTGTCATTTTAGTCAAGGTTTGCGTCATTTTTTCGCAGTGCTAGTCGAAGTTTGTTTTAAGAATACGAAATGATGTAATTTTTAAGTTTTAGCTCGAACTACGACTAAAGTTCGTTTTAAGAATACCAGGGTTAATTATTGTATCTCTTCCTGTATACCTGGACAAAATCTTTATATTTTTTTACTTTATGTTGTGCACCTTCTTTGTCAGAGTGATTAGCACCTCTCTCCATCCAAGTCTAGCATGAAAACTTAACAAGGGTTTTAGGATCAAGAATCACACAATACTGTGTATTTTGGCCTTTTTATCATATTGTATAGGAAATCAAAAGAAATTACATAGCAAAGGATATTCTCTTGTCCCTTGCTTTTGGACTTCAATTTTTCTGAAAAACTATCACAATCCTCTAAGAGACTCCTACTTTCTTCTTCTATATGCAAAACTTCAGAAATTCTTGTTGGTAATACCTGTGTATTACATGCAGAGCAGGCTTGAAAACTAGTGTCTGTAAAAGTTTAAAAAAAAATATCACTCACCAACTCAATGAAAAAGTTAGCTCTGCTAACTCTTAAATGGAATAAAACCACACAAATTACTTTTAGGCTTTGTATTATCGTTATCTATATTAATCAATATTTATTTTTAATTCTATAAAGTGAACTTATGTAAAGTTGAGAGTCTAATATTATCATACTTTCTGGATAATTCACATGGTTAAGAAAAACAATAATAATTTGAAATAAATTAATCCATCTGTTTTATGTTCCATGTAAGTAATCTTTCTAAGAAATCAATAATAAAAAATAATAACATTAATAATGACCTCAATAATACCACTACTACTGTACTGACATTGGAGGTTGAATATGGGATGGATCCATTGAAGCAAGAAGGCACGTTTTTCCTCTACATTTTTCAATTTCAATGCACTAAATGCCATTTATAGAAATAAGAAAAAAATAGAATAAAAAATGTTTTAATTGGCCCTCCGGTCCCTTTGTTATTATTTAGTTCTAATTACGTTTCCGCTCCCTATAGAAATAAGAAAAAAAAAAGTACAAATAAAAAATTTTTCAATAAGTTCTCCGGCCACTAGGATAAATCACTGTTGCTAGCATTCCCCATTTATCTAATCTGATATTGGTGCCATACCAAAAAATTCTGGATCAGCCCATCCAAATTATATTACTTGAATAGTGCCCTCTATTGTCTCCTTACCATCTCTCCTGAGTACCTGCCCGGAGCAATTCTCACATGTGACGCTTCCCATTTCTGCATCAAGGAGTTCTTCCTGACAACTGGTACAGTCACAGGTGAAGTAATATTGCTCCTGCAGCATTCTTTGTCGTATATGACTGGGATTCATCAAATCTATATAGCTGATTGAACACTGAGAGCGATAAAAACAAGGTATTATTATTATATAATATAACTATATTGTGTCTTTTTTTTCAAGGCATCTGCTGATAATTTATATTATGGAGAATTAATGAAAAGAGTAATGATCTTTGTAAGTCATTGCATATAACTATAATTATTCAAATATTATATTAACATGTCATGGGATTACAACATTATAATATAATATTTAAATACTATACTATTATGTTCATGGGATTATAAATTAGCCTAAAAGGACTGCAAAAAAAAATTAACAAAACTGGTGGCAATAAATAATAAATGAGATAATTTCTTTGCATGTCATTATAGGTGTCATGGAGACATTGTTGCAAACAGTCACTGCATGTAGATTGTAAAAAAAACACTTAAATTACTTAAGAAATTCTTAAATTACGAAACAAGTTTAACAATGAATAAAAAAAAAACTCTATATATGAACCACAAGTAGAAACCACATACTAAGCACTAAACAAAACACCACTACTTTTAATGGGCTGAATACATGAACAACTAGTACGGTACCACTACACTGTTGACCAGTACATACCTCTTCTCCTTTGCTGATTGCCTTTACTGCACGAATGTGGATAGTTGTGCCAACAAATATTGCAGTACAATTTGGGGAACAACTGTGGTTTAATAAAGAGGATCTGAAATAGACAGAAAAACGAAAAATGTTATAAGTGCTGTTGGTTCTACATTTTATAGTAAGTGGTCAAAAAAAGGTAGCTCTGTTCAAACAAATTTTATGTGACAAACTTGTGTGATGTACCCATATATGAGCATGATGATGTCAAATATGGGTATATCAAAATTATTTGTCAGATAAAATTTGAAAGCGTTGACAGCTTTAGAAAAAATAGTTAGTTCAACATATCAAAATGTTTTTATTTTCTCTGTAACCTAATTTTTATATAATATAACATAATGTAAAAATATACTTCAGGTAGATTCCGACGCCAATTGACTGCATTTCAGGGTCACAAATGTTGAAAGAATTACAAGTCACTTGACCAAACAGGTGAAGCAGCTCTTGATTGCTAGGCAACTGATCACCGCAGTAATTCTTCAAAGTCGATAGGAGTTTTACAAATTGTTTCTTTCTTTGTTCATTGAAGTGTTCATGATCTAGATGTAAAATATGAAAAAAGAATGATTTTAGATATTAATAAGTTCATTGTGGCTTTATAAAACAGCATAACAGATTTGCTTGACTTTTTTGCAGTCTGAAAAATAATTTAAAAAAAACAAAAAAAAACTGTTCAATAAAACAAAAATTGAACTATCTGAAGAGGTAAATTACATGATGTCACAATTGATTATACAATTATGAATAAAAATGCATATCAAACATACTTGACTGAAGTTCTGATAAGCTACAAGGAAAGTCATCGCTACTGTTTGATTCTTTTGAATACTTCTAGAAAATAGTAAAAATGTGCAGTTATAACATATAACAATATTAACATGGTTATACATAACAAGCTTATCAAAGTACAGTATATATTGACAATGTTGGGAGGGGGAGCGATGTCCCCGACAAGAGCAAAGTGTGAGTGGGGCATTGGATTGCAATGTTATTAGAGAAAGAAAACTAGATAGCTTAATGGGCATCATCAAGAACATCCCTATCTTCTTACAATATAGCATGTTCTCTGATTTTGTGCTCTGTCAAGAGCATTGTGTTATACCAGCCTTTCTGCTTACTTGTGCTCCAGACAGAGTGTACAGTACCTTGCTTAGTTGTAGAAGCCGTGCCACTAGTAAAACTGTCTCTGAAGGTTTGCCTGGTGAAAATCTTTGTAAGTCCTTGCATTCATTTTTATGTAAAACCCAGGCTGATCTCTGCAGTAGTATGAGAAGTATATAGCATCTACTAAAATTGTGTTTGAAGATCATTTTGATATTCTATCCAATACTGTATTGTATAGTATGTACATGTAGGATTGACAACAAAACTATCCTAATAAAAACAATAAAATCCAACCAAGGCAGATCACTGATTCAGTTAAATGAATCCATATTTAGGATTGCAAATGGTGATGGTTTGCATGACATATTCAATTGGCCTTCAGTTTCTACTATTCCCCTATCCAACAGAAATTCATCTGAACAAAGGATAGAAGCTGGAAAGTTTTTTGATTTTGCTGATATGTGGTAATTGATAACAGGAAAGAGTTGGAAGGGAAATGAGTTCAACAGTATAATTTCAATAGAAACACTGTAGGAAATCTACACATTTTGCAGTACCAACTGAAGTATGAGATTTTCATTTATTAATGAGGTGGGACTGGTGTACGTTTGTGTGGACTCTGATGATGTATGTAGCAATCATCTACGGTACCTGGCAGCCATGTTCTTGTATCATATACAACTAAAATGCATGTACTGTAATGTACAGTATCATACCTGACATGATGTATTGCAGTAATTTTGGCATTTACACCGGGAACAGCGAAGGAGTTTGTTTCTGTAGAAAAAGAAAAACAAAAATATGTTTTTAGAAAGGAATTAAGGTCATCAAAGGCTGGAACAACATTGAATAAAGAGACAAAATCTTGGGATGCTGTTTATCTTGTTTGATATGTTTAAATAAATTATACAACTAAACAAACACTGAATGTTAAATAATTAAAAAAAATAATGGATATATTTAATGCAAATTGCAAAATTCTCTTGTAAAAAAAAAATTATGATAAAAAAAAACACCTTAAATTATATTCGGGTCAGGAGATTTAATAAGAATTATGTTTCTTCTTTTTTTGCTTCTATTTTGATGTGTTTTGTTCAGATGATGTTATACTGCAGGAACTATTTCAAAATTACTCTAAACATATTCTATTATCAGACAAGGTGCTATCAGCCATTGGCATCTGTCTTAAATTATCTGGTAAAAAAATAATGAAATCAACCATAAACTAAAATGGCAATACTGTAAACCAAAAGGCAATAAACCAAAACAGGGGAGAGGGCACAGGGGCTGCGTGAAGTTTAAGTGGAGGTTATCAATAATTGAGGGGATGCTAGCTTACAACAAGATGATAGGTGATTTTTTAACTACTTGAGCATGATTTTTTTTGCATTGAACATTTTCAATGGGGCGGCAAATAGAAATAGGGGCACAAGTTTTCCATGGGGGAGGGGGTGGCAGGGCATGCCATATGCCACTACCAAATATGTGCAACTTGACTAGATAGAAAAACAGCTGAGTTATAGCAAATCTAAATCCGAAAAGGGCGAACAACTAAAATAAAATGTTCAGTAAAAAATAAGAAATTTGCCCTAGTATTATATGTTCGCAAAAGTGGATCCTTTTTCTCAGTAATGGCATTCGCTCGAAGTGACATTCGTTTGAACTAGCATTCACTTTTACTGACAAGAAAATTGTTATTTTTGTAAATAAGCCCTATATAAAAAAATATTATTTATAGTTTTATCACCCTATGGAAAAGTGAAGGGGGGGGGGGGATTTTTTATTTATTTTTTATTTTGCTATTAAAGCCAAATATCACCCTTGCTTGGATTGTTTGCCGGTTCATTGATATTCAAGTTAAAACATTATTGAGATATTATACAATACAAGCGATATCTAGGGCCTACTATTTAATATAAAAAACAAATTAAAAAAATCTAACAAAAAAAATATATATATATATAATATATTTTTTGAGTACCATAAAAGACATTCGACGTGCAAGGCACTGCGAGTGTAAGTATCCCAGTAAGAAAGTATATAGGCTATAGGGGTAAAACCACAGAGTATACTACTACACTGACTCTAACTAGGCTAACCAGCCCAACCTGGCCTAGGCTTAGTTATGAAGCGGCCGCGAACCAAGGCCCACCCCACAGGCCTATAGCCTATTATTACTAATATTAGGCCTAGTAATGACGGTTATTCAGAAGATGAAAGCTACCTATCTGAAAAACAATAATCACATCTATCTTGATAGGTAGACAGAGAAATCGCATAAGGTTCTTCTACAAGAATTTCATCACCAGACTTCAAGTCACAGGCAGCAAAAACACATCTTGCTTTGGTTGTTTTGCTCAATCGAACTTCTAACATGGAAGCCGCCATGTTTTGAAAAAGTGTTGACAGGTTCTTGAATTATTCTCGCCCAATATTTTCTAATAGTAATTTTTACACAATGGAATTTATTATTGCATTGGGACAATGTTATATTAATTACAAGTACTATTTAAAATATATTGTTCTTTTAGGTAGCTGAAAACTTCTTCAAATAACTGTTAGCAATGTGAATTGTACTGTCATTTATAGAAAATAGGTTGGCCTAGCCTAGCTAGCTAGGCCTCTCATTCAACCAATTGCATCCTGCTGCAGACCGGCAGCGAGGTGAGGTCAGCCACACTTTGCAAAAAGCAGCCAGACATTGCAAAATCGTTAATGCAAAAGAATAGCCTGGGCGATACCATTTTCGCGAAGGTAAATTGACTTTCGATATAAACCTTGTACAAAAAAAAAATATAATCGACCACTTTTATGGTTGCTGCCCTCTACAGTATTTCAACGTCAGGTTAAGTTATTGTAGGTTGTGTACAACCCTGGGTAAATTAACCCAGTAGTCATGGTTGGGGCGAGTGGATACAGAAAGGTTCTGTATTCTGGGATGCAGGGCGAAGGCCTTGATAAAGTAGACTAAATGTTGTGGCAGATAATGTCCTGGTTTATTTGTCTCCTGTCTCTTTTTTTGTGGACTGATTATTATTTGTTTTTCTAGATGCTCAGATGTG